CAACACTGAGGGTTGCGATCCGTTGCCGGACACGGAAAAAGACAAAAAGAAAAAAAAAAAGTTAAAGAAACATGAAACACAGGATTTTATGAGGAATGCCAGCAGCATGCAATCTGAAATTGAGTCGGCCTTCACATATAAAGCCAAGCAGCTGGCAAATGAAATGCTATGTGCCTCTTTTTATAGGAGAAATTGCATCTAGGTGTTCAATGTTAATTCCAAGCATTTTGGGAGCAAACAGTACATTTAATCATAAATTAGAATAAATAAATGACTTCCTCCGTAAGGGTGTCACAGTGGATCTCAGTGAGGTGTGGCGTGGCAGACTGCATCCCCCAAGGATGGAGGGTCCTGTGGCCCCCACCCCACATGCTCCTCCTGCCACTCCCAGCAACAGGAGGTGGATCTATGTCTCCACCCCTTGAATTGAAGTTGGCCTCAGTGACGTGCTGGACAGAACCTGGTGAAAGTGATGTGTTGTGATGTCCAAGACTATGTCCTAGTCCTGTGGCTTCCCCGTGGGCAATTAAGATGCTCCCTGCTGAGACCAGCTACGATGTTGTGAGAAGCACAAGCCACACGGAGGGTATGCGTCAGGAGCCCCAAGGACAGCCCAGCTCACAGGCAGCACCAACTGCCGATCATGAGAGTGAGCCATTGTGGATGTCCGACCGGGACAGGTTTCAAGTGACTCCAGCCCAAGATGCCACATGACCACAAATGCCTAAGACCTGATGTGAGAACTGCATAGCCAAGCCCAGTTGATCATGAGACTGAAGACAGCAATACATTTTTTTAAACCAGGGAGTCTTAGGTAAAGGATTAATCTCGCCCAAACAAGTTTGGCTCCTGGGAGGTCACCTGTAAGCTCTTGGCATATCTTCCCTCATAAGAGCGTCTTTGTTTATTTGGGACCTTGGGCCACATCACACAGTCTATGCCAATGATGTGACTTCTGGTGGGGGCCTTGGAGTCTCTCTGGAGACAACAGTCAGCCGTATGGGCTAGGAAGATGTGATAAAAACCCTGGATGCCAAGACTCGGGAGAGCTTCCCTACTGGGCAACACTCCAATCCGTGTTGTGCACATCACTGTTGGAAGAAATAAGTGCTGCCCACACCACAGCACTGGGAGAAGACGCTGAAAGATTGCACCTGTTCTCTCCTGGACTCCATCCTGTGCCTTCCCTTTTCTGATTTCAGTCTCCATCCTTTCACTGTAATAAACCCGAACCATGAGGATAAAGATCTTTCCAAGTTCTGTAAGTCCTTCCAGCACACTGAACGTAAGAGTGGTCTGGGGTACTTCCTGAACCGCAGTAGCGAAAGAGAACCACAATGCCTAGTCAGCCTGAGAATACTGCATCTTCTCATTGGGCTCAATTCCATCTGCGGCCTGATGCCCCCTGTAGGACCTCCATCAGTGCTCCTGTCTTTCTCACAGGAAATGAATGGCATCAGCAAACTGGGACTCCTGCCTGTTTTTCTCAAGACACTCTAAACCCCCGTGTGCACCCCCCAGGAAGTAGACCACTTACTGCCATGCTGCCTGGCCTTAGAGAAGAGCCTCCCAGATATCCCAACAGACCAGGACTGCAATAGCTCCCGGGAGGCCACCAACAGGGTCCAACTGCTCACTGGACTCCACCCTCCAAGTATCAATTGCCCACAGGCAATCCCCTAGCTCTAGGTCTACCTGGAAAAAGGCGGATCTAGAAGAACTCGGATTTGAAAAGAGAAATCTCTCCAAGGGACCAAGGTCAGGTGGTACGGCCTGAATGGGATTCAACATTACCTTTGATAGAGAATAAATGGGGGAGTAGTAGAAAATTTCTCTGGTTTCCCTTGGTGACTGGAAAGATCTACCTCATCGTGTGATGTCAGGAACCAATGTTGTGCCTACCCTAATGGGATTCAACATTACCTTTGATAGAGAATAAATGGGGGAGTAGTAGAAAATTTCTCTGGTCTCCCTTGGTGACTGGAAAGATCTACCTCATCGTGTGATGTCAGGAACCAATGTTGTGCCTACCCTAAAAGGAATCTGCCTGGTGGACCACAAGCCACAGAGGGTGAGGTGGGCACAGAGCAGCGCTGGCTGAATACATGCTTGAGGGTCGGGCAGAAGGAAGGATGAGGAGCTTCCTACAGCCTTTGCTCCAGCTGGCCTCACTGGCCCAATCTGGGCTTTGTCCCCCTGTGTGCGAGATGCACTGCTGACGGGACACTTTCCATCCCAGGCGGCAGGACTCTCCCTCAGGAGCCCACTATGTCAGGTACACACGGGGACAACTTGGGGGTCACCCTGAGTGTGGCCAGTCCAGCTCCAAGACATCCAATAAGACAAGGCAAGAGGGACTGAGTGGTTCCCCCATCCCTTACATCTCCTGAGATGGTCGCCCCAACCCTGGAAGCCACAGCAGCTCCACCGTCCAAGACAAGCTGACATACAATAATGACTTTATTTTAACATATTTAATTACAGACATAAAATAGCTGGGGAAGGGGGTGGGCCCCAGCCTAGCCCCACCCTGGGGCTACCAGGAGGGGGATGCAGGCGAGGCCTCCCTGATGACCCTCTCTCTGGGGGTCTTCCTATGGCAGGGCCCTATTGCTTTAGTGGGGGAGGAACCACACATCGAGGGGAGCAGGGTGCCGCTTGGCCCCATCCTGCCCCGAGGCTGGCCTCCCTCCAGAATGCCCGGGCTGTGCCCCCAACCCCAGCTTCGCCAGCTCCTTCCTCTTTATCCAGGAAGTGGACCCTCTGGCCGGCCCCTGACTCTGCCCCCACCCCCTCTGCGAACCTAAAGGGGAATAAATACAAACTTTACAAAGTAAAAGGGGGTCCAACGTTGCCCTGGGGCGGGGCCTGCTCTGCCCCCAGCCTGGGCCTGGGGTCGGGTGGGGGTGGAGGGGCCCCAAGACACAGGCCGCCGTTGCCTCACATCATTCCCAGCTGCAGCAGCGTGTTGGCATAGGCCATGGGCTTGACGTTGGGGTGAGGCTGCGGAGCCAGGGGCAGATAAGACGGACACAGAGTCAGACAAGAACTGGCTTCAGGCGGACCCTCTGAGCACCTGGATGTAGAATCCACCCCACCCCTTTGGCCAGGCCTCTCAGCCTCTCCCTCCCCAGGCCCAGCCAGGAAGGACGGGGGACTTGAGGGGGACTCACCACTGCTGTGAACTGGTGGAACTGGGGCCGCAGGTCGGAGCCCCGAAGGTGGATGTAGGCGGCTTTGTTCCCCATCTGATCGCTGCAGGGATAAGAGCAGAGTGGCTGTGTGATCAGGGGCTGCGTGGGGCTGGGGGTTAAGAGAACAAAGGGCCAGGCAGAAGGGAAAGAGAGACGGAGAGAGACAGAGAGAAGACACAGAGACAGAGCCGTGACAGACATGGACAGAGATATGGAGAGAGCCGAGGGACATGGAGAGAACCAAGGACACAGATGGACAGAGACAGGGATGGGAAAAAGAGAGGAATCCAGACCAAAGAGGGGCCCCGAGAACACAGGCAGGAGGAGGGGCGATGAGGGAAACAGAGGGTGGAGGTAAGGGAGTAGTGGGAGCAGGGAGGGACAGGCAGGCAAGCAGAGGCCACCATGCAAAAAGTGGTGGGGGGCGGGGGCACACAGCCATGTGCAGGGGAACCTTCACCAACACTAGACTCAAGACCTGATCACCTCACCAGGAGGTACAGGGGACCAAGGGGTCCATCAAATGGCACCACGGGGATACAGTTAGACTAGTCCAGGGTTCAGGCAACTTTACAGGCCATGTGGCCTGGTTTCTTCAACGAATAAATGGGGCAGGGGGTTGGGGAAGAAGTCAACTGAAAAAACACATTTAAGAGAGACAGGTGGGAGTGGAAATGGAACTCTGGCTGGATTTAGGTGATAGCAAGGAATTGCTACTCCTCTTTTAAAGGTGTGACAATAGTATTATGGTTATGTTAAGAAAAGGAAAAAAGTTCTTCGTTTTAGAAACATCCTGGGGTTTTGGTGGAAGAAGATTAATGCCTGGGGTTTGCTTTTAAATAGCCCACAGTGGGGCAAGCTGCTTAGCGCCTAGCTGATGAGAGAGCGACCTAGCTGGTGACTGTGGGAGCTGCATGATGGGTACATGGCGTTCATCACACTGTATTACTTACTCTTTCATATCTCTGAAACTTTCCACCACAGAAAGTTAAAAACAAAGACAGAACAAATCTTGTGGACTGGAGAGAGAAACCAGGGGTAGGGAAGGCAGGGACGCACCAGTAGTTGGGGGCGGAAAAGACGGTGACGCAGCGGCCACTGTGTGCCACCTCATAGCCCTCAGCCTTGACCTCGTGGCTACGGATGATGTAGTCCAGGTGGTTCTCCTCCAGGAAGGCCTTGGTGACATCGGGCCCAAACTGGCAGCTCACTCCCCGTTTGCTGACTGAGCGTCCGTTCTGGGGGTGGGCAGGTAGAGATGGGGGTTCAGGGTGACTGTCAGTCCTCCCAACCCATTCAGCACCAGCCCCTACCTGCTGGCATTGGACCCCCATCTCCACACCCTTTTCCCATAGACTCACCTGAGGCTGCGGATCTGACCAGAGGAGGTCACACATGGGACCTGGTAGGGAGTGGAGGGAATGTCAGGGACTGTCCACCTCCCTGGGGGCGGGCATTCACAGGCCACCACCTGGCTCCCACCACACATAACAACCTGAGTGGGGATCGGGCAGAGGACATCACTGTGGACAGGGCTGGGGACCTCAAGGCATGTGAGCCGTGATTCTGAGCCAGCCCATCTCCCCACTGATCTCCCCTCCAGACCCCACTTGATCCATTATGGCCCTGAAGCCAGATGGAGCTTTGAACACCCCACTTCAGATCAGGTCCTTCTCCTGCTCAAAGCCCTCTGTGGCTCCCCACTGCCCTAGGAACGAAGACCAGGTTCCTCACTGAGGCCTGCAGGGCTCTGCAGGATCTGGCCCCGGTTAACCTCTAGCCCAACATCAGCCCTTTTTTTTTTTTTTTGTCCTTTTTTGAGACCGGCCGCACCGCACTCAGCCAGTGAGCGCACCGGCCATCCCTATATAGGATCCGAACCCACGATGGATCTCCCGAGTGCTCCACGGGCTCAGCCCCAGACCATACTTTTTATAATCCATTCATTTGTTGATGATGGGCCCTCACAGGCCACCTCCTGGCCCAGCATAGCCCAGAAAGGTGCGTACCCTACAGCACATCCCGAGTGGGGATCAGGCAGGGGACATCACTGCGGACAGAGGTGAGGACATGTGAGCCGTGATTCTGACCTGGTCCACCTCCCCACTGATCTCCCCTCCAGACCCCACTTGATCCATTATGGCCCTGAAGCCAGATGGAGCTTTGAACACCCCACTTCAGATCAGGTCCTTCTCCTGCTCAAAGCCCTCTGTGGCTCCCCACTGCCCTAGGAACGAAGACCAGGTTCCTCACTGAGGCCTGCAGGGCTCTGCAGGATCTGGCCCCCGTTAACCTCCAGTCCAACATCAGCCCTCATAGCACAACTCTGCCCACCCACGATTGTCTGCTGTTCCTCCCACCCACCACGTTCTCCCTGTGCAAGCCTGGAATGTACTTCCCAGGTTGTGTGCCCAGAAGGCCCCTCTTTCTCCTGCAGTGTCAGCTCAAATGTCACCTCCCTAACCACCCATCACCACCCCACCCTATCCATGTCCTCCCCTAACACGTGCACTGTGTGTGTGTGCATGTGTGAACACGTCCCCATCACTAGAATGGTGTCGAACACCTCACTCACTGGGTCCAGCAGTTGAGCTTATGGGTAAATCTATGACGGGTGTGTGCTCAGTGCTCACCATGGCCCCAGCCCGTGCTGTGGACGCTAATGCTCTCCTGCCAGCAAGGCCTCACAAGGGAGTACACTGGCCAAAGTTACAGGTGGGGAAACTGAGGCTCAGACTGGCCACTCCTAGCCAAGGATGCAAAGCTCATCATGGCAGGATAGTAGTGGCAGTTCAAATCTGGCCCAGGTGATTCCTCTCTGCTGGAGACACTGAGGCCCCAGGAGGTAAGGAGCTGCCCACCTGGCCCTGCCCCACTCACCTGAATCAGCGGGTTGCCGGTTCCGTTCAATCTTCCGGATATCATCCAGGGTGACGCCGTCTTCACTAAACAGGCCCCCATGCATGATCTGGGGAGTTGGGGAGAGGATGGCCACCGTGAGGGTAGGAGCCAGCCATCCCCAGCCCCTGGCCCACTTCTGCAGCACGTCTGCCCACGTGTGGTGAGGTCCCTGCTCCGTCCTTACCAGCACTTTGCCATTGATGCACTGGGCCAACGGGAGCCACTCAAACACTTCGCTGAAGAGCTCGTACATCTGGGCTGTGTACTTGGCCTTCACCTCGCCCTCAAATCCATAGATCTGGTTCATGTTGTCTGTCTCGTGGTTGCCTGGCCAACAATGGGACAGAAGAGAATCCTCAGCATCCATGTCTACCAGCATTCCCCTGCCTGGATGCCCGCAGGTACAGGCCCAGGGACGCAGGGAGGATTGTCTACTGGTGGCTGGCAGTACCCAAGCCCACAATGTTCATGCATCAACTCACTGGCCCTTCACAGAAACCCAATGAGGTGTAGACAGTTTTCAGCCCATTTTCTGGAGGAGCAAACTGAGGCTGAGAAGCATCCGCAGGCTCATAGCCACAAGGGCTTCAAGGTCCAGACCTGTACTAACAGCTCCATTGCCAAGGAAGTGGCCAAGGCCTGGGCTCTGTCCTGACCCTGAGCCATCTGTGTGTCCCTTGCCTCTCTGGGCCCTGGGCTTCCCACATGGTGCCTTCCAGGCTGGAGGTACCTGTGGAGGATCTCAACAAAACATGAGCTCATTTGCAGAGCATCTGCTGTGGCCAGGCCCCACACTGTGCCCCCCCTTAGCTGGCACCACCTCACTCTTCCCTCCCTGGGCCTGGGGTGGTGGGACAAGTAAGCAGCCTCCCACCTCGTTCCCAGTTCTCCCTCCCTGCTTCCTCCCATGCTAGAGCACCTCCCACCTTCTAACACAAAATTCACCTGTAGCACTTGCAAAATGCCTGCCCCTGTACTACTCCGGGGACCCCGTGGGGAGCAAGCACCCAGTGGTGCTCAGGAGACTTCAGTTGAACTGATGGATAGAAGGAATCCGTACAACAGCCCCGGAAGGCTAATACTACCACAACTCCCACTGTACAGACAAGACCGAGGTACACAGAGGTGGAGCCTGCAGCCTTCCAGTGACCCCACTACCTCCTCTCCTCTCAAAGATGACCCAACCCTGTCTCATCATTTTTGGAGTTTTCATTAAAAAAAAAATTTTTTTTTACATTTCTCTTGGTGGGAAATAAGTAATATAATTCTCCTGCCCTCCCACCCCACACCTCAGGCCCCTTTCCTTTCCATGGAGGCGCCTCTGCCTCTTCTAGGGGGAGTGTGCATAGAGAAGCAAGTGTCAGGGCAGGGCCACTTTCTTTTTCTGGTTTGTAGGAATCTTCCCTTTCTCCTCTGGGAAGAAGCTTAAAGCCCTAGAGTCTTTAGGCTGAGGTGAGGGTATAAAGGAAGGAAACTCCCTTCCTAAGAATGATCACATTTCATGTTAACAAAACCCTCATTCAGTTATTCGGCTTGACATTATTGCCTGATTAGGACCACCCAAGAGCTTGTTTCATGCCCTTGTGCAAATTTTAAAAAAGGTCCCCCTTCCTCAAGACCCTTGACTGCCATCTGCTGGAAAATGGTCATGATAACATACACACCTACACTGTGATGTGAATGCTGCCCCTAGTGTGATGCTACTGTGCAGTGCACAGCCTGCTCAATCTTATAAGGCAGCCCTGTGTGTGATCTTGGTGAATCCACAAAATAAGCATGGCTGCAACTATTATCCTCGCTTTATAAAGAAGGAAATAGAGGCTCATAGCAGGGAAAGTAAGTGCCCCACCAAGGGCCCCGCAATCACCCCAGACCCTGCAGCCTCCTGACTCACCTCGAAGTAGGTGAAAGTGATCCGGGTACAGGAGCTTAAAGCCGAAAAGGGTGAGGATCACTTCTACAGAGAAGGAGCCACGGTCCACAAAGTCACCATTAAATATCTGCCCTGCTAAGGAAAACGCAGCAGGGGTGGGGGATGGGGGATGGACTGTTCCCTCCCCATTTCTCCACACGCCTGAGGTGCCTGCTGGCACTTCCCAAGGAGTGAGGACTCAGAGGGGCTCGGAGGGTCTGGGCATCTGTCCCTTTCCTCTCTGTGTGGCTCTGGCCAGCTGCGTGGCTTCTGAACCTCAGTAGGATGGTACCGAGGACCCAACCTCACCTGTTCCTCAGGGAAGCCAATGGTGGTAGGGGAGGGGTGGGCAGTCAGCCTGCTTCAGCTTTGCACCCCAAACAGGCCCAAGCCACAGCGGAAGTGAGACTCAGGCCCTCCTACCCAGCAATACATGGGCCTAGTGACCGTTTATCAAGCAGATGTCACAATAACAGCGACAAATACTCACATAGCATCGAGTGCCAGCGAAGCCCTGTTCTTAGCCTATCACATGCATTAACTCACCTACTCC